AAAATTTAAATTCCTCCCAAACAGGAATATATCCCTACTACATATAAACTACATATAAAAGAGTCAGTTTTGCCAGGTCATTGTCAACCAATACGACGTCGTTTCTTGCGCGTGTTTTCCTTCCATATTCCACTCCCGCTTCTAAAACGCGAAGAAAAAATCCTAAACCCTATGTTTACTCTCTCCAAATTCCATTTCAATTCCCACTTCCATCGCCTCAAACCAATCCACCCATTTGTCAACTCGCTCAGGGTTTGAGCATATCCTCTCTCTCTCAATTTCCCCCCAACTTCCGAAGATCTCTGAAAATCTATCCCGCATGAACACCAGGTAAATCTTTAATTTCTTCCCTTAGAAAGCTGTCACGAAGCCCCTCATCACCTTCTTCGATTCCCCAATACAGAGACACCAATCGTGCGAGACGGAGGGCGAAAATGAATAGTATACGGAGCCATTTCTCCATGCCTCCACTTGGACGGAGGCATGGAGAAATGCTATGCCTCCGTCCAAGGAGGAGGCATGAGTGCACGGAGGTATTTGTCCATGCCTCCGTCCACTTGGACGGAGGCATGGACAAATGCCTCCGTCCAGTTGGACGGAGGCATGCCGAGTGAACGGATTCATGTATAACCTCCAGCGGAGCCCTCACGTTCCATTCCACAAAAAAATCAGCCAAAAAATTGGGACCAGGATTCGAATTCGGGCTCGGGGTACTTTCAGATTCATTCCAGACCCGGTAGAGATCATTATCAGAAAATTCTTCATTCTGCGGCAATAATTTCCGCGTCGAATAGGATCCCGCTTCCTTTTGGGCTTCTTGACTTGCACCGAGCCGGAGAAGATAGAGTAAGATAATTGAGATAAAAAATAGAACTGGCAAGGAAAAAAGTCCATGACAAAAAGCTGGGAAGTAGAGTAGAATCAGAATGTAGAGAGTGAAAATGGTGGAGAATAGAGAGGTACAGATTCTCAAAATGGTGGAATTCTTATTGATTGATGGAGGAGAGTGTTTGGGGTCCATCGAGATATATGGTCTCTGATATGCTCAAGAAAGGGGCTAAAATGGGGATGCCAGTTTGCAGGACTTGGGCTTCCAGTGATGGTGCTCGACCCAATAATCTTCAGACTCAACCTGGTGTTTCTAGTTTTTAATAGAATTTACTATCATCTAATGATTATTGGAGCTTCCTTTTTTATTTTATTTTTGTAATTTGCCATGTTGAGTAATTTTTTTGAGCTAATAGCTGATTTCTTGAATTGATAGTAAGCAAGTGGAATTATACTTTCTGGATAGAAGAGCAGGTCTGCTAAACAAAAAGTACATATTATACTTTCTCGACCTATCTTAAAACTCACAAAATTTGAATGTTTGTCAGGTGAATGCTTACTCTTGCATTTTAACATTGGTTATTACTGAGTATTCTCCAATACTCACATTACAAATCATTTTCCTTTTCAGAATGAAAATTGTTGTGGTTGGATGCACAATCAACTGCACTCATTTTCCTGCCCCCATTTCTCGCAGGATGGAGGCATTTCTCCCTGCCTCCATCCTAGGTATTTCCTCTTGCCTCCATCCAAGGATGGATGCATGAAGAAATGCCTCCATCCAAGCACTCCATCGCTTGGATGGAGCCATTTCCCCACCTCCATGCACAATTTTTTTTTTGGAGGTGCCTCTGTGTGCGCCCAATCCATTTCCTCCATCTATTACGAAAACAAAAAGAAAAAGCAAATCAGAAAATGGAAGGAGAGCTTCGCGAAGCAACCTTAAGCGCCCGTTTGTTGAAGACGTCGAGTCTCAATAATTTTAACCTTTTGTTTTTGTTTTTTCGTGGCACCTCCATCCAAATAATTTTAACCTTTTGTTTTTGTTTTTTCGTGGCACCTCCATCCTCGTCCACAGGACCACGTTAATTTGTTAATTTTTGTTTTTATTGTAGGCTTCATCTTGTTTATATGAGATTCTACGTGAATGTATAAAATGCAGATGATATTCTGCTTGAATATATATGCATCTTGTATACACTCAAAAACATTGTGAATCAGCCCTGAAAGTCT